CCTAAACCCTAAACCCTAAACCCTAAACCCCAAACCCTGGGGCCTATGTTTCAAGTGGAGGGTCCCATGGCCAGCTACTGATCCGGAAGCTCCACGAATCAGAAGCCTAAACACCAAGTACATCTTCGAGCCATGCCTCAACCCTAAGCACTGCATAATGAATTCGACTAGCCTAATCTCAGCAGAGGCCGGAAGCCAACAAGGGATTCTTAAGATGGTTGGCTGTGGGATTTCTTTAGTATGACATAGTATAGATACAACACTTGGAGGGTCGGAGGACTTAGTAACTAGTTATTTTATAGACTTACAAGTACCATAACCCCGATGAGGATCCTTTAGGATGCTTATAACTCTACTTAAGATCTACTTACTGAGTCCCCCGACCCTCCAAGCAAGGAACCTTAAGGACGAATGAAGGTGAGCATCCAGGCTTCTATCTGCTCGTCTTGCTTCTGACCGCCATCGAATAACTAGGTTCCCCAGTAGCCCCTTAATAACAAGGGTACCCTTGCTCCTACTATTTGGTTTTAGTAAGGGAACCCCCAAAAGGAAAATGGTGAAAGGGTACTACTGGGGAACCTAGTATTCAGTCCCTAATAGTTTAAGGTGTGTTCCTTGCTTCAGGGGTATAGAGCTCTTTGCAATTCCCTCCCCCCCCTCCCGACTTCCTCTAACCCTAAACCCTAAAACCTAAACCCTAAACCTTAGCTCTGCAGGGCCTCCTCCCCCTGGCTCAGCAGAAACGATCTGCATGGCACGATTCGTACCTAGGGATTCGGGATGTCAGCGTGGTGGGATTCAGGGTCTAGGCTCGTTGACGTGATTTGGGATGTCGCTTTCTAGGAGTTGCGGCCATCCGTGTTGAATTTAGAATTGAGGCTTTGAGTGTTTAAGGTTTAGGGTTTAGGGTCTAGGCTTGAGGGTTTGCTGGTGACGCAACCTGTTTTCAGTGAGTCCGCCAGTAACCCCTCTAGAAAACCAAAGTGCAGCTGCAGCTTAGGGATTAGGGTTTAGGGTTAGGGTTTAGGGTTTAGGGATGATTGCGAGCGAACTTCACCTAGCAATTCGCCTTGTTTGCTCATGAACAAGATGCTACGAGGCACAAAGCGCTGCAAACGCCCAACCGACATGAGTCTGAGTACAAATTCGGGTTTCGGTGAGGAAGTCGCTTGTGGCAACAAAATGAAACATATTGCCACCTATGAGAACTTGCAGAAAATGTGATCTGGAGCGCTCAGCTGTAGACATTAGACACCAAATCGAACCAAACCCTACGAGTAAACCTCTAAACCCTAAACCCCTAAACCCCTAAACCCCTGGACCCCTAAACCCTAAACCCCCTGAACCCCTAAACCCCTAAGCTCCCAAACCCAAAACCCCTAAAAACCTGAAGATCGACTCCAACTTAGGCCAGGGCATATCTGGCCTCGTCCTCGTCACGACAGGCGGCAGGCCGATTGCAGAACGTACGCTAATATAGGGGCCTTAGGAATTAGAATAGGGTTTTTCGGGGGTTCCTGTAAAGGGTTCCTTAAAGGGTTGTATAAGGGCTACTATAGGGGTTTTAAAGGTATAGGGGCCTTAGTAATTAGAATAGGGTTTTCGGGCCCATTCTACTATCATTATAACAAGGAGCCCCCCAAAACAGTAGTGGTTATTATCTAGGCCCACGTTATCGTCCAAGGGTGTAGGCCCTGTGGGCCCTTTAGGGCGCCACGCACTTAGACAAAGCTCCCAGCCAAAACTACCGAACGACACCTGAAGCTGAAGTAGTAGTAGTAGTAGTAGTAGTAGTAGTAGTAGTAGTTGTCGTCGTCGTCGTGCCATCATCATCTTAGTCCTGTGGTATGCTGGATTGATGGGCCTAGACTAGTCCTGGCATGCAGGGCCTCGCACAGTTCCAGAATCCCTGCCCGACTCAGAATGTGAGGGACTGGGAGGGGCTGGGTCTCGAGTCCGGGACTCAGAGTACAGCTGCTGTTTCCAGCTAGGTCGAAGGAGGGCAGAGAGCTGATCTTCGACCTGCAGCTGCTAACAAAATTCATTTTTGCATGGGAAAGTCTGCTTTGGATCATCGCTGCATTCAACCCCCAGGCGACACCTGAGGTCCGCAGCTTTGTTCTCTCGTGCGCTGGCGTGTCAGCGCAACGAGCAAGTCACTTCGAAAGCATTTGTGCTTCGCCGATCCCTTGTGACATGGCCAATGGCGTCCTTGAGCTGAAGCAACACCAAACATGAGATTAAGGTGCCGTCGTGTGTCAGATGAAAGCATGTCAGTACGTGGAACTTGCCGGAAGTGTAGTTATGGGTGAGGGGCAGTCCGTGACTAAAAGAGTTCGGAGTCGGTTAGATTAGGACCGAGGCTTTCACAAACACTCCTTATGCTTCCTCTCCTGATGTAGCAGCTAGAAGGATGAGATTTACCATGCTTGACAAGATCGGATCGGCGAAGTGTTTATGCCACTGTTGCTTTCGCTTTTGGTTTTGCTTGTCATACTTCCAGCCATCTTCGATGCAGGTTGCAGCAGTGCCGCAGGAGCCTTTGTACTGTTTTGAACTAGCATAGGCGGCTGCTAAAGGTCTAGATACAACAAAATCGAGACGGCAGTCAAGTGTTTTGGGCATGTCAACTAGGCCGAGACATGCATTGACTGGAGTGCTTTCAAACGAATTCAACTTGTCTCTAGCTACTCGTCATCTTCCGATGTTGGTATGACTCTAAGTGCAACAGGGCAGTGTGTGGAGACTTCTGGCAACCTGATCCTCAATTCTCACTGCGTTATCTGTCCTGGGTGATCAGAAATGTTGAGACTCTGCCACCTACACAGTGGAAAAGACTGAGCGTGTAGTAGCACGATGCAGTATGCACAATAGTAGTGAAATCTGCAACAGAAACTGTAAAGCAGAAGCATTCTGTGGTGAATCAAGTTATATAAGTTACATGATCTTACTGTTGAAAAGCCAACTAAGTACATGCAGTTATGTAATATATATATATATATGCACTTATCACTTATCTGTACACTTCCAACGCAATGTGGCAACACGCTCTTGTTTTCAGAGTAAAGGGATAAGGCCAGTGAAGCGCCCACGGGCAGTTTTGACCGAACTCGCATTCCCGCCGCAATGCGCGCCTCCCGTCTTCACCGGGCATGCCCAATTGCTGGTAAAATACAGTAGGTCGGGGCTTTCCAACTGCATAAATGCAGCTTCCGACACTGCGGTGCACATGTTGGGGCTGCACAGCATGCTCCCGCTGCAGTCCTTTGCCGCCGTGCGAATGTTCACCTTCAAATCACTTGAAGTGCCAGAGTCATAGTCATTCTGTTTTGTGTGGTCTCGTTCTGCGCTATTACCTGGGGTGTTGGAGTGTTGGGGGGGCTGTTGCATCGGTCTTCTCCGTCGTGCTTTACTCTTTGGCTTGGGGGTCTAAGCTCCCATAAACCCATACGCGTATATACACACACATACATAATCTATATATATATATATGTACATGCAAGTCTCATTTAGACGTGGATATAGAGAGATAGAGCTACAGATCCAGTACAGATAGTTTATATAGATCTGCAGATATAGACAAATCTACGTATATATACACATGTACACATGTAGGCAGAGAGAGAGAGACACACAGACACACACACGTTCGCGCACGCACATCATGACCCACATCTGACTTGTAAGTTACGGAGCAGAGCCTCGGCCAAACCTCGGCATCAAAAGCCATTCCTGGACTCCTTGGACACGCCTTGGTCTTGGTTTTATTTGCTTGGAGTCTTCAACCCTTTTGGGGGCTGAATTCGATCCTAGCTGACTGGGGCTCTTGGGAGCACCGTTCAGCGTTCCTCTGTTAATGATCTGAGTCTCAGCTACAAGTGGCTGGTGCGTGCTAGGACCTTATGCAGCTCAGTGTCCCAAGCTGCGAAGTAGTCGTACTGACCGTTCGAGACCTAGGAGCAGCATTGGGTCCGGCATGATCCAACAACGATAAGTGGCATTTGGCTCTCTCTTTCCACCACGTCGTGGGAGTGATCCGCAGCGAGCGGGGTTTTGGTATGATCTAGCTTGTTTGCCAATTGGCCGATGTGCCTGTCGTGAGACGGCACAGGTATGCCATCGGACACTTGTCCAAACTCGACATTAGCACTGACTAGTCTGCAGTCTGGCAAAACCGGCCAACTGCAGCAGAATCCACCGTCACGTCAGCTTAACAAGTGCTACAGGAAGGAGTTATTCAGTCGTTCGAAGTTGTAGCGGCAGCAGTGGATTCAAGAACACTTGCAACAGCAGCACGTGCGTGCAACTTGACCGGGCGGGCTTTGAAGGCCGACCGGAAAGGCGTGGTGAAGTGAAGTGTGTTGCGTGCCCACGAGCCGAAAACACATGGCAGCGGAGTTGCGAGGATATAACACACAAACACAGGGTGAATCACGTTTACCTTCGCAGTCATCGTCATCACCTAAGCCTCGCCGTAGGTAGCTACACATGTGAACTAACAGGTAACTAAGAGGTAAGTGTGAGTGCAAAAGCAAGAAAAGATGTAAAATCTAATCGTCTTATGCGTGTATTGGTGATACGTATGTAAGTAATTATGTATGAATGTAAGTTAACATGTATTGGCTTGTCTCGTCTTGTCTCGTCTTGTCTTGTCTTGTCAAGGACTGTATTGTATTGTCATTGTCGTGTAGTTGGATTGCAATAATAATTGTATAGCAGTTGGATTGCAGTTGTAACTGTAGTGGTTAGACTTCTTGTTATCGTTGTTGTATTGATTGACGGATCAATTGATTGATTGATTGATTGATTGATTGACCGAGTGTACGTATGTATGTAGGTATGTATGTATGTACGTATGCATTGATGTATAGATGTGTCGTACTGTATTGCAATGCGTTGTGCTGCATTGTATGTTATGCATGTATGCATACATGTATGTATGTAGCAAGTCCGAGAAGTGAAGAGTCTTAGTGAGGAGACTGAAACCCGCGTCGGCACAGGAGTGCGATTCGCCGCAGCTCCAGGACATAAAGGAATGTGGAATCACACCTTGTCCGGCCTGGACCTCAGATCTCTACACATACTTTACGTTCGTTACCTTTACATATGTACAGCGAATGTAAGTATTAACACATGTAAATATATCAGGAAATACATGTATGAATAAACATAAGTGCATATGTACGCATGTATGTATGTATGT